TGAAAGATATGGATAGGGATTACTTAGAAAAGAGAGTACAGGACATTATTCACACTGCTGTCACTGAAAATACAAACACTTTTTATTATCCTTTTTTATTCAGACATGGAGAAAGAGCAACCTTGAAACACGGTGGATGCCTAGTGCCAGGAACAGAAATCCAAACAAGAAGTACACAGAGAGCTAATGTCAATGAAGAGCTTGGACACAGCCTCTGACAAATTGATCTCCAATATTGATCCACTTGGCAGGATGCTGCACAGGGGAACAAGCCTTCCCAACAGAATTAGAGGACATAAACACTGGAAGACTTCATGTGAGATATTTTCCTCAAAATTTCAGCCTATGGATCTAACTTGCAAAGGTAATGACCTGAGCCTATAAAAAAAGAAAATAAAGCAATAAATTTACTGACTTTTCAGAAACATATCAGTTATAAAAAGACAACCTACATGCTTCCCAATATCAAAGAAGTCCAAGTGTATTTATCATTTCTGTTTGCCTTTTACTCTTTGGTCTTCTGTTTCAGATTAAAATAAAACCTACAGTAATTTCAGTGCTTTTTTTTTAATCTGTGTTAAAAAACAACATCTTCAGGTATTCCCTTACTCTATCCAGAATTGCATATCATACTACTCCTGTAAAGCTTCTCTTCAATTAAGGAATTAGAGCTAATAATTAGACTTTAAAACAGCTGGAAATAAGTTTCATAGAATGTAAAAAAAAAAAAAAAAAAAACACCAAAATCTGAAATACAAACTGGAATGAGGAAATCTGACAAACACACACACAAAAAAAGGAGTAGGATTTCCAGTTTAGTCACTCCCTCTAAAGAACCACCCTCAGTTATCGTAGGAGCTACTGTAACAGCTCTTGTGGTAATTTCTGGATTTGACCTTCAGCCTACATTGAAAATTTCTGTTCTGGCTGTATTTGAAAAATCAGAAATGTTTATTGACAAGATGGAAGTATGTGTACCCATAAACTAGCTGTATACCATCATCTCTACAGAAAAATGTTCCTGCTCCTTGACTCTAAAGGAAAAAACACAGAGAAAGATCTGTCAGCAAGAAACTAGAAAAAAATATTTACAAACAAATAAGGAACAGGTGCAACCACAGTAAACAAAATGCCCCTTGACAATGAAAATCTAAGGCTGAAAGTTGAAATACTAAAGTTTCAGAAAGCTTGTTGGTTTCAATATTCAAGCTAAACTGATTCATGTCCTGCCACCTACTAACTGTATGTTTCAGGAAAGCAAGAAAAACTGTTCCCAGTGACAAACAGACAGTTCTGAAGCAAAATTTGGCAAAATCTTAGCAAAGCTTTTTTCACAGCAGACCTCATATAAATATTCTATACCTATATAATCTGTTTTATGTACAATCACTTGCAGCTATCTGGGAAATTTTAGAAGCCAGAGTGTCAGGAAAGCCTGGAAAGAAAGCAATTCTATGAAAAAGTGGTAAAAGTACCTGGCCTTCACTGCTGAAATCAGAGTCAGCAGCATATAGATTAATAATGACACAATAGTCTACCAGACTTCAAATAATTAATTTTGAAAAACAGAGAGATAATCAAGCTTAATGTTTCAATTAAATATCAAATTTTTTATCCTACAAGTTGTAATCCAACCAAAATTATCCTTTACCTGTGAATTCTCAAATATTACATATTTTAATTTCATTATAAATGTTTTAATTAGCCTCTATAATAATAATAATAACACCACTAGAAAATTCAGAGATGCTTTGTTTTTCAATTCTTCTGTCCAATTTTTCATTTGTTTGTTTTTCGAAACAATGCAGCTTTTCTTCTCTCAGGCTAATGTCAAAATAAATTTGCATCACTGATCTGGTTGGAAGCCTATAAGGCATAGCATCGTAATACTGAACTTAAACATTTCTGAGAAATAAAAGCTCAAAAAACCAGAAGAGTGAGAGGAAAATCTGTCTAATCCTATGTTTTGTTTTGCCTTCCTTGATTCTCACTAATTCAGAAAACAAAGTTGAAAAGTCTTGCATATTGGCATTGTACGTTCAACATTAAATACTGTGGCTGACATAAAATAGCAATTTTTTTTGACACAGCTGATATAGATAACCAAATATTTTACTCACAGCCATTCATTTGAAGCACACTTTGCAACAGACTCCTGGCCAAGAGTGAACAGATTTTGTAGCCGACTATTTTGGGCAGAACAGAGCAGCATCTTTTAACTTAGTCAAAATGTTAATCCACAATAAGTACCAAAAGTGTTTGACTCAACACATTTGGAGAAAAATCTCAGCTTTGGCTTTTACCACTTGAATTTATCAATGGCAAATTCAACTAGACTAAAATCAGTCAAAGATCAAATTCCCCTGGACTTTATTATTTTTTGGCAAAATTGTGATACTGGAAAAATACAGTGAATATTAATAAACCCCTATATTACAGCAATCATGCTGACCCACAGATTGTACACAATACTATATTATCATTAACAGGAACTGCTAGACTTCATGAAGAAACAGAAGCCTCACAAATTGCTAGAAATTCAACAACACCAAAGGCTAGAATGACATTTTCTCAACTTTGTGAATCAACACTACTAAGTGAGAACTGTGCCCTTAGCTCCAATCCACCCATCATTTTCTGTGTGTCACCTCCCTCTTCCATACTCTAAACACATATTAATCATATCCCATGGCAGTGAGTCCCCTTCCCATTTTTAACAGTTGTTTTTTTTTTTTCTAAGCACTATTATTCTTCACAAGATGCTAATCCAGGGGGGAAAAAACCCAACTGTCAAATACCAGGGGAGGAATCCTCAGGGCAGCAATAACCATGAGAGTTTTGAGCAACAGCAGTATTCAGCCTAAAAACCTGATGTGACTGAGGGCCTCAACATTCACACTGTGAAAACAGAGAACTTCAGGGGCTGGGGCCTTCCAGCCTTCCTGAAAAGACCTGAGATTAAGTCTAGGATCCTCTGAAGATTCAGGAGAACATTGGCAAGAGTCAAACTTATTCTTTCAATGAAGCCTTCTAAGGTGGTAACTTATAAAATGAGAATATTCCTGAGTTTCTAACATTTACAGAAGAAAGCATCAGTAAATGCTCTGTATAATAGTTCACATTATCAATTCAGTCATGCAGTAACTAGCAGAAAGTGTACTCATGGTTAAAAGTCTAATGTCACCTTCATGTTCAACAGAATATGTAATAGTTTGGAAGCTATTATTTCAAAACTCACATGTTGAAATTTTCTAATTGACTGCTCATACGTTTCAAAATGATTTTATAATTAGCAACAGAACAAGCTACATTAACCCTGAAACTTGTAGTAATAAGTATTAAACTGCTCTTACTTATCTATCTACTTATCTGCAAATAAACCTATCCATTACAGTAACAGAGCCATTCTGGTGCACTGCACTCTGCTTCAATTAACACCTCTGCAGAGATCTGTTAGAGGTGCAGCATCAAATGACCTGAGCCCTTACTGCACTGTATGACAGTGCAGTATGTCTGTGCAAACAGACACCCAGAGTTCTCCACACATTTACACACTGACGTCGAAAGTGTGTTGGGAACAAGGGAATAGGCTCAGGGAGCTTTTCACTAAACTTCCCTTTAAGCACAGATGACACAGCCCTGGTTAAGTCTCCTTATGCCTCAGTACCACATCTTTAAAACTGGGTTCATATCACCTTCCTGTTACTCAGGACTACTGTTAAGTATAAGCACTGTGAAGTCACAAGATACTAGACCAGCCAAGGTCAAGATGTTCATATCACCTTTGTACATAGATGTGGATACTTGTTTTTTATAATCAGGAATAAAATAAGAACAATTTCAGAGACTTAACATCATTAGGAAAAAAACCACCTCAAGAGCAACATATACAGTGTTAAAAGAAAACAAATATCTATTTTTCTTATGAAACAGCTTTTCATGTGAAGCCTCAGTAATGTATTCATCACAATCAGAACAGAGCTTGAAAACTGAAACAATCACACACAAAATCAAACACAAAAAACCCCAGAACATATTCTCCAAAGCTATGATTACCTGTTAGTCAATGAGCAAGTAACTTTTAAAATGTAGTGTACCATGAATAATTTGGTTTCATTGCAACCAAGCTGTTGTTTCCTGGTTTGTATGCTGCATAACCTGAAAGTTAATATGAAGGTTTCCCATAGAAAAAGAAATATTGCCTGATTTTAAAAATACTAATTTTCAATACCTACAGATATATCTAGCTGTATTTTATATGTCTCATATATAATAATGTCAAAAATAATGTATTACAAGAGTGGCAAGGGTAGCTAATAAGTTTCAGATTGTCCTTCCCTTCCCTTTTAGAGATGATATATGTATCAGAACTTTTCTCCTCCTTGTGACACATTCTCCCTCATCTCTGTACAATTTGCAGTGAGCCTGAAAAGAACCCCCTGCCTCAGAGTTTCTTCCATTGGTGTTTTCATTAAAAACTGTAATCTAGAGAAATATTCTGACAGCATCTTTCTTTTGTAATGTCACTTCCTTAAATGACCACTAAACAGTGCAAATTATGAAGGACAGATCTGTCAAACAACACAATCATGCTGATGAACCAACTTCCAAGCTATGCCTTTCAAGAAGTTTAGACTTGACTCCAGTCAGGTCCCTCAGTCTGTTGCCAACATTAAGGGTGCCTCTACAGTGCACCTTTCTCTCCAGTTTTTCATCCGAGAAGATTCCAGTTCAACCATCTCAAGATCAAAGCACAGTTAGTGGGGACAATCAGAAGATTCACTGGTCTGAACTAAACCACTAATAAGAGCATACTTATCATGTAAAGTCTATAAACCAATTTCCAACTTTAGAACTACTGAGATTTGACACTTTCTGACTTCAACGAAATAGTTTCAAATTTGTCCACAATAAGTAAATGCAGAATACAAGTGTAAAGGAAGTTAATAATATACACCTCTTACCATTTACCCATATACACAAAAGATTCAGGGACTCACCATATCAGTATCTGAAACAGGTCCAAAACTGGTCACATAGATGTTAGTGAAGACTTCAGTAATACTATCTGATATGAAAAGAAAAAGAGAAACAAGCAAACATTTTAAACTGATAGTATTTCTTCTAACTCTCTGTGAAACATTATGGGCCATTTTGAAGTGGTTTCTGTGCTTGTTTACTTCTCTTGACCAGTATTCTGTTGTAAATACTGGAGGTCCCTACCTCACTTAAGACAGAGGTTACTGGACAAGAGTTTGTCCCATGGAATAGTTTGTTTCTGTTAAAGAACTATATAATCATCAGCAACTACACACATATTTCCCATTTCTCTACCAGCAAAAATAACCACACCATCTTGGACTTAACATGGAAGTACAGTTGTAAACACAAAATGCCTTTGTTCCAGAGGTGTTCTCTCTCTTGTTGCAGATTATTCCTATTAAAATCTTTCTAGTTGAAGTCTGTTTTCTTCATGTTTAATAACATATTCGAAGGCAAAGACAAGAAAAAGCTTACAAAGAAATTACTGACTACACTAAACATAACACCCAACAGCATCCTACTTTTTCACTGGGTGTGTTTTTAAGTGGCACATATTTTAACATAATAGTTCCTTCCCTAGATACAAAATGCTCCTGATACATTGCTGTGGTACTGTAAATACTACCAGAAAATGTTCTTCCTAATCATTGTAGTCAGACAGCTATGAAATCAGAATATTAGATATTGCACTGCAGGGAAAAATAATTGCTGAATTTTCTATCTTCAGCTTTCAATTAGGCTCAAAATGGAATGATATTTGCTAGGAGGGGTAGCACAAACTTGCAGGAAATTCCTTACACCAGTTGCCAACTACCATCTGCATTCAAGACAGTCAACATGAGGAATTCTCTGCCTTAAAGCCAGCTGCTGACTGGAAAACAAATCTTTGAATACAACTAGGTGCATTTTGACTCACCATAGAAACTCCCATTCCTAAAAAAAATACAACTGCCTGTTGTATGAGTGATCCTGCTGTTACGTTATGATTTATATATTTAATCATCATTTAATATGGATAGTTAATAGTTTCTGTTTTCATAAAAGCTACCTTTAGCTAAATACATGGCATAGGCAAATTTTGCCTTTAATTATATTGAGGCCAATAGTATAATCCCTGTTCTTTAATGGGAGAAACCAGTGGTGCTCACCCATGACAGCAGAAGCTCTATCAGCCACCAGGCAAAGGCCAAGACTCTTCTGTGAGTGGCTGCATGAGGCACAGTGCATTTTGAAAGGGATGCAGCTGCACCAAAAGCAGAGATGGGGTGATACACTGCTTTCAGAAAACTTGCAGAGCATGGATGATGAAAACTTCTGCATTCTCATCTTTAAGGAAACTACCTTCTTCAGCCAAACTCTAGATACGCACTTATTAGAATACAGGACTTTGTAAAGCATTTCCTACCCAAAAGAATCTTTTTCTCCCCAGGATGATCTCTGTTTGTTAAGCAAATAAATACAGGCTGACTCTTACTACGTGTCACTCTGAAAGTTCAAAAGCACAATTCCCCTGCATGTGCTGAGAGATGAAGATTTCTATAATCTCATATGTGGCATCCTTACAACAAGCTAAGTTGATTTTCACTTCAGACATCTTACAAGCAAATTTGAAGTCAGTGGACAAAAAGAGCTGCTGAGTCTGCACTGTTCTTGGTATTCAACAAGGATAAAGTATGGGTCTGGCTGAAGTATCATACAGAAACCACAAGCACAGTCCAGAGGACTAGTGACTTCATGCTGCCTGTGGGAGGCTCTCCAAAAAAAATTATTATCTCCAAATGGTTACCTGGCACAGGCTGGAATGAAGTGGAAGAATGACAACAGAGCTACGCTTCGGGAAGTAAAACGGTGCTGCAGGGACCAACTGTGAAATTTGGCTTGTACTGTGAAATTTGACCTACACTGTGATGATGATACAAAATATTAATTACAATTCCATGAAAAACACTGGTGTTACACAAATATGACTGACAATCAACTATCACAACATCAGAACACCAAGGCTAATTTCAGTTATACTGGTATTATGTAAAGTAACTCTACTACAGACAATCAAGTCACTTGGCAGACCTGAGCCTGCACACTCCCATCCTCCAAATCACTGGAAGCACCTACCTCTATTGCTATCAGTTGTTTGCATCTGATTTATTATTTGACACATGGAAATGACTTTACAATTTGCATATCATAAACTAAAGGGCATGGAATCTTCAAGCTTCCCTTGCATTCGAAGTTTAATTTTTGAAAAAGAAGTCCCATATTCTAACATATTATTTCTACACACTTTTGAATCCATCCTTCTATCAGAAAGGAGCAGAGAAGACAGAGAACAAACATATATCAGAAAGGAGCAGAGAAGACAGAGAAGAACAAACATACTGACCACGGCTTCTTGCTGAATGCCATTACCACAGTCTAGAGTCCTCCTGTTGGTGTGTGTTACTCACTTCAAATCACTTCAGCTCCTTGAACAATCAAGACTTGGGGTGTGGAGAGTGAATGGATGGGAAGAAGCAGTAGCTTGCTATCCCCAGATCCTCAGCTGCAAGAACTTCATTTCAGGCTGTCATAATTAAGATAAGCACTTCAATGTATATAAAAAGTCCTGGGGCAAATTCATCCCTGATACCCTCAGGAAAGGGAAAGGGAATGGATGAACATTAATTGTGTTACTTCTCTTTTTTGCCAAAACTGTCTTAACCAGCATAACTGCAAGCAATGGTGACAGAAGTGAGTTTCAACACAACCAGTTTTTCTCTCCCAAAGTGAGGGTCACCCTGACATCAGGCATGCCACCAGGCTGCTTCTCTTCAGGTGAGAGCCATGCCACGGCTGAGAGTGAAAGGAGTAGGTAGAAGGTCTTGAAACAGGGCAAGAAAGGGACAAGGGAAGCTGAAAAGTGGTACAAGTAGAAGACTGAAGGAAAGGGAAGGATAAGAAAATTCAACAATGGAAGGCAGATGGAAAAAAGGGAAGAGGAAATGGCAAATTTTTATTTCTGCCTATTTTCAAAATTCTGCCTATTTCAGAAGTTTCTATTCATACCCTACCTACAAGGAAACAGGTTCCTAAAGACAAAAAAAGATCAAATGCATTAAATCTTTAATTATTCCTGTTACCATCTGTTAGTGTTAGCAGCCTCAGCTTTGTGTTTGTTTCTTCATTGTTATTTTACATAGTGTTACAATAAAGGTTCCTCTAATTACGAATTTGAATCAGTGTCTACAAGAGAAAAAATGTCCTCCTTTTTTATAAAAAATTTTGTAGCTACTGCTTTGAAAGAATACATGCTTGTCAAATAAACAATTCAGAGGCACAAAGCACAGTTTCAGATGGACTCCCTAATCAGAATTCATCCAGCAGGCAATCACAGTTACAGGCATTTTATATTCTTCACATTCTGTCAAGAACACTGTAAGTCATCATACTTCGCCCACTGGAGATTCAAACAGTTCTGGATCATCAGTGCTTGTGGAAAAGCCAAAGGAATATACACAGCTAAAAAATGTTGAATGCAACACGTGTTAGCATACAAATCTAGAGTCTTTTGTCTTTTTGAGATAAAATTAAGGACAAGTTTTTTCCACTAGAATTAAAAAATCTTTTTTTTCTTCAAGTGACAGGTGAGCATATAATTAAAAGGCCTGATTTTCAAGTGTTCAAATCAATGCTTCTGAAAAACGTTCTAGCTTTTAAAGAACCCTCTGTTGGGAGGAAGGGTGACTGACTCATTTATACTTGCAGGCTCGTAAGTTATTCTGAATCACTGCCTTTGAAGGTTAAACAAAGAAACGCGAACAGGCAAAGGTAAGGACATAATTTCTATTTCCGATGCTTCTTTTAGGGGAAAAAAATCTCAGACAAAGAACATGACATTTAGCTGCCATCAGCATGTGAAGTACTCTGAAATTCTGCAAATGCTATTATAGCATCATTTCTAACTTGCCCTGGCCATAAATGTTTAAAGAGAAGTCTTAGCTGACTTAGCTTAGGCCAGATTCTCAGACGATGGACGCCAAGGGTAAACTGACAGAAAAATAGTCAATAAAGTTAATAATAAAGAGAGGAAAAAAAGTATATCCTATGGAAGCAATAAAAGCAGTGACTATTAAGATCATATTTCACATGGTTATCAAGCACTGGTTTCTTCTGCTTCCCTTTCCTTACTTGAACTGACATGATACCATTACAGGGAAAAAAAATAGAAATTAAGAAAAAGCAATAAATATACCAAATTGCAGGAGATTTATACATCCTTATCTATCCTTCGCTGGAAGGTTTACTGTGTACTTTAATTACATTTAGGATTTTACAAACATTAATTATAATAAGTCCTCTCTGAAGATAACTTTATTATCTTCAATTTTCCATACTTGGGAAGCTGAGGCAGAAGGATTAAATTAAGTGGAAGTAATGTGGAACACAGGTGTTTACCAAATCCGGCTGCAGCTGTCCAACACTAAGTATCCACACTAGAAAATGTCAACATTGACTTATTAAAAATTAGAAAAGTGGTTCAGAGCTCAGCTAGAGTTGATATCAGTGCCATTGTCAATTCCTTTATGCCAGCTCTCCTGCTGTTGGGATACCCTTTCTGATGGCCTGGACTCCTGCTGACTTGCTCCTGAGTAGAAGAGCTGGCTGAGCTGAAGTTGGCTGCTTGGCAGAGCATTTGCATCAGCTGAAGTCTAAATCAACACAGGCTGAGTAATGGAGATGATCAGAAAAATCAGGTGAATAGGTTCCTCATCACCATTTATTAATTTGTAAAAATTGGAAAATTCCATAGAGTCACTTCAATTTTGAATGAGTTCCTTTGGTCTGCTGCCTGGCAGGCAGTTTTCAAAATTTCTGTACTTTCTTTCAAATGTCCCTTCTCAGCTGCCTGCATCTCTGACACGGTACATGAGTTCCAGGGTCTGTGATATGAGGTAGCTAGACATGAGGATTGGGCATAATTGAGAGCTCTCCCTTTCCTGGAGAACTCTGAGGCAGGATTATGTTTCTTGAAAAAAAATTTCTGAC